AAAGGAATCATTGCACGTTGGATGCCTAGGGTCCCGTAGATTGTTACACTTGTAGTGATAATTCTTGCTGTGTCAGAATTTGGCGGCTATAAACTAAAGGTAAGATGTAGCATCGGGGTTTGTGTTTAAAATTAACCGGACTACATACAGCATGGAATGTGAGCCCAAATCCCCATTTGGCTTGAGCACTTGCAAGGCAGCATTTAGTATGGATGGTCGTCAATTCTTGCTTTTTTTAATATCGAGAGTGAGGTGGGTTCAATGTACAAAGTTCTGCCTTTCCTAGTTTGCTCACTAATGCGTCTTCCGTTCAGAGTGGGTTAGGAGGCTACTGAGCGAGAGATAATTTAGTGAATTAGTACGTCCTGCGGCTTTTACTTAATCCCTTAGCTGCAATAATTTGGTGGGTTAGTCCACGGAATATGAGGGATTTTTTTTGTTTTGGCTAAATGCTTTCTCCACTTCACTTCACTGGCCTAACAAGCTGCCAAATCTGCTCACAGCAATTGGCTAGTCAGACAGCATGGCGGTCAGTTTAAATCATAACCCCTAGAATGACAACGACGACGACGACGACAGCAACAACAACCGCTTGTCTAGTGCCTCATTTAACCTATTTTGTAAGTGAAGACAATTGTGATTGCATTAAAATATACGGAAGGTCGGTTTGATTTTATGAGTATGGGTGGCTGGGAGGCCTAATGGCAGAACACATAAAGTTTTTCCATCCGTCAAAGGGGACATTTGATTGTACTTAATGGAAGTGTCATTTGGCTTTCCGATAAAAAACGAATTTTAAAACAAAAATTCAAGCACTAGCCTCCTTTATATTGTTTATGTCGACAACCCTAAATCTTATCCTTACACTTTTCGTGAGTCATTTCCTTTTTGATAAAGTATGCATGGAATTGGAATTAGCTTATCGCAGTGCCCTGATTCTTGACCGAAGACGAAATAAAGCCTAATACTAGGCCGGATTATGTTTTGTCGAAGTAGAGGAGGGCTGAGAGGCTACTGGTATAGCTTGAAGGTCATGCAACCCGGGGAAATTACGATCGCGGAATCTTAAGTATCCGTGAAACCGTGACAAAGAATTAAAAACTAATCAAAGTAAATCACAGCCTTCTTTCCTTTTGAAAGTCATCTCTAGCCCTCTCCCTCTCACCTTAGTCAATCTCCATTACTGGTGGTAAAAACACTGGTCTAAAAGCAGTCATTTAACAAATGGCAAGATAAAAATAGTTCCATATGGGTAGGATTTCACGCCTATTTCACCTTTCCACTTTATTCTCACTTCGGAGCTACCCAGCCGTATCTGTCTAGCTGGATTCCACCCATCTAGAAGAGCGATGGAGGAGGAATCGTGTAATTCATTGATGTCCTCATACAGGTAAGGTAGGCGGCTCCGTACCTAAATTTTCTAGGGGGTTCAAGGCTAGTGTAGCTTCAATTATTACTAGCTTTCCCGCAGGACACGAGACTGGAAGAGTTGCCGAAGATAGGCACCATTCATAGCCCTTCTGTTATGGGTCGTCACCGATTCCCTCAGCCGTAGCATATACTTCTCTTTCACCACCCATGTAGGGCCCTGAGACTTCCTTGAAGACGCAAGGAGGCATGATACCTGGGAAGAATATGCATTGTAAATGAAGAGAGGGGCTTGGAGCTAATAGCATGGACTCCAGACCGAATTTCTTCGCAGAACTACAAAGGCGGAGCCTTAAGTACCCAAAAAACAAGGAGTTAAGTGATCAAAGTATTACGATACGATAAGGGATCAACAGACAAAATAGTCCATTGATTTGGCTACTTAGCCCAGAAACAATTGGGAGCTAAAGAGAATTGTGTTAAAACCAGAGCGAAAATATGAAGTATTATTCAAGCCTGAAAATGCTGGGATTTATCGGGTCTTATTGTAGATGCTTTAAGGTCATCACCCTCATCCACTTCGGCTTCAGCTTAGCCATTTTATTTCCGGGATTAAAATGACTTACCGAAATGAGGTGATGACTGTGGTTCATGATTCTCTTAAAGACGCAATTTATACTTATTCACCTTCACATCACCGATAGTAAAGTTAACTTAACAACTGAACACAGCAGCAAATTTACAGATTTACTGTCAGCAGTATGGTCGTCTCCTCTGTCCATCCAAGAAGCCAATATAAAAAGTTGGAATCAAACGAGTACTTTCAGAATACCTATCCTACCTCACAGAGCTCATTCTGCGTGTTTATCATAGACTAACTCTAAGACCGTTACACCTTATAATGCCTTCAAGGATAACTGACGAGCTATTTTTCAATTTCACTTTTTAATGCTCCTGACACATCCACATCGACTTTTGGGACACATTCTTCCAAACAGAGTAATAGCATGGACGTACATGCCCACTTCCCAGTGACCACCATTCACAAGACGTTTGGTAGGCGAACAAAGCAGTTCTATACACACGTCTCTATAAAATATGTGTCTATAGCATAAATTTAGAGGGAGTTTAAATAAAATACGCCTTCTTTGACAGTAGAAGCTTCTACTTCTAGTCAGACACGGTAAAAGTACTGCGGTTACCATCGCGGCAAGCAGTTCGTTGATATGCATGCATCTATTTAATAGACGGCAGAGGCAAAAATTCAAACAACAGAAAGGCTAGAGCATCATGGGCTTGAAGTCTTTTCAGTAAAAAAGATCTTTAATGCTTACTATTGTACTATTTATATGGTAGATTACTTCCAGTTAGGAAATTACTAGAAGCCTTTATGAAACCGTACACGCTAAAGTGCCTATTTAAGTGGCAAGATAAAGCTTTGTAATTTTCTTTGGCCGTAGGGAAACTATGTGTTTAAGCGAGTCCTGAAGGCAGTGACTTAGGAAAGGCTTGATTTAAGGGTGTTTCGCATGGTGGTTTATGTACAAGTTTTACCGGCCTCTCTCACCTCAGATACTTTAAATGCAAATTTATTCCAACAGTGCCTCTAATTTTACGGGACAGTAAAGGAGAATTGATGATCTTTCCCTTTCCTTTATGATTGTACTGCAACGTAGCTATTCAGTTCGAGTTGCCTTTCGCCTCCAATTTCATTCGGCTTAGATCCAAGAAATGGGATTATTACCTGCTCCTCGCAGTTGGCAATGTTTACGTCTGCACGCACTGAATGTTCCTGGCAGTCAGTCACACCTTCACCACACTTTTTAAATGGCAAAGTGAGGTTTGGATGTGCCTTTCAAAGAATTTTGAAAAGCTTTATCATAACTCATTAGTTAGATTCCTAATCACCGGCAAGTTTAGTGTTAGATTCGCCTTAATTCTGCCTCATGGTTAATCATGATAATAGTATGAATGCATTTTTAGTGAAAAATGGGAATGGCTTAGAGACAGGATTCTTGCAATATTTAGCTTTCTTAAGGTTGACAAACTCTCCAATAAACATCCCTGCCTTAAGAGACACGAGTTTGCTGCGAGGTCAGCTTTTATCGAACATAGCCACGGCTACCTTTGTTTCTATTTCATTATTATTTCTTATCTATCATTTTTTGTTTAAAATGGCTTTTTTTACATTTATGTCTGTTTTGCGTGTGCTTATGTTGGTGCCAAGGAAACGTGGGGTTCAATGGTCGCAGAAACATCATTGAGGAAATAAAAGAACCAAGACGAAAGTCTTCTCATTGTTCATTTTTGCTGCAAGAACCAAGAGACCTTAGGTTTTCTGTTGGGCATAAGAACATGACCTGTTTCACATATCCACTAGTTCTGTGACCGCTTCGGTTGCTTGTAAAGAAGAACTGAAGCACCTCTTCCATAATTTCGAACTGCACCTAGTTGACGTTAGCTCTAGCTGTTGTTTGACATTCAACAGGTGAATAATTCATAGTGATTTATTCTGTCTGCAGTTCACCACACGCACACACACTGACGTTGGATAGACTTGTGTGAATGAAGTGGTGGCACCTGTCCTAGGAAAATGGTGGTAGGTCAGTGGATCATTTAGACATAACCATTGATGTCTTCGTTCTCTTGAATAACTTTGCAATGCATGCATCCATACACAAAAAGGCCACTTCCATCACAAGTCATTCAGTCATCTCGCTAACAATCCTCGCTCAACGCCTGACTTTGACAACCCACATGGAAGAAGTGAAAAACAGTATGATAGATTTGGAAGTTTATTTTCATTTGTGAGTACATGGTATGGGAGTGAGACCCATTTGTCCAGCTTCCCCCAAGGCTTCTCCGTTGATATCCTCACAAACCGCTTGCTGCCTCATTATTTACTTTAGCCAACACGTTGTTCTTCAAACCTTAACTCCTAGGTAACCCAATCAGTAACGACACATCATTCTCTACTCTGATCAAGGGCAGAGGCTCTGTCCTCCTGAACGTGATGCCCCATCATCCAGTGATTCATCAACAGGGTTGAATGTCTGTCGCCACTTCTGGACGGGACGTTCTGCCACCACACGCTACACCCTCTCCAACTGCTGAATAAATGTTATGGAAAGTTATGGCAGCTCTGAATTTAAAGTCGAGCTAGGTTTGTATAGAAGAGAGACTCTACCATATCCATCAGATCTTAGCCACACTGGATGTTGTGATATAGTAGGAGAATAATAGAGGCGGATAGGGCGAGAATACGTATCTGATCATTATGATACATTGCTTATAAATAAAGGCTCATATTTACATTTGAAAAGTATCTACAAATTGTAAGAAGTTATTGCAGTGAGTGATACCGGAAAATCATGCAAACTAGTAATTTACGCTTTAAAGGAAAAAAAACATTACTCTGTGCAATTAAATTACAGTTTATTAACTTGCGCTAACAACACTCATTATATCATATTATCTTTCCGTAAGTATGAGTTCTTCTACGTATGTATGGTTTTGAATATGAGGTTATTTTAGATGCGCAAAAATAGATATGGGGAGTGTTTTATAGCACTGCGGCCGTTAATAGTATGGTTGTTAATGTCACTGGCTTAAACACCTACAAGAGCAGAACTTGGAACCTATCCGCACACCTGGTTAAGTAAGAAATCATGTTGTGTGTAATCTATTGTATCAGGTGTGAAACCGATCTCACAGGAAAGCACTGGTGGCAATAATATTGGTGAAGGTAGTGCCATCCATCAGCTCGAAGCATGAGCGATGGAGGCGGCGGATGAGAGAGCGGTGGCGATGTGGAAGATAGTGTGTGCTTGGTAAGCAGAATTTGTATACAAGTATCGATCAAAATTAACAGAGACAAAAGAGCATGCATTCTGTTATGTGGTCTTTTGCTGTTTCTAAAGGTTAATCTCACTGCTTTCCACGCTTACTATCCTGAGCTGGCTATCCCAAAGTAGTTGAATGTTTTGAAACCAGCCACGAAGTTTGAATCCACCAGGAGTGATAGGATGAAAAACCCCGTTCTTTATTTCATTTTTATAAATCCTACTAAATATCGCAGGATTTTAATGGCCATAAGCATTTTGCTGACTCCTCAATCCCTTTTTCACGTGTTCTGATGCTACAGAATGATCATAAGATTGCTTTTAATGGCTAACATAAGAAATAATGTTTTATTTTATCCACGCAGAAAAGAGCCAAACTTTGGCATCATTGCATTTTTTCCACGTGGACTCTTTAGTTTCAACAGTTCTCGACCAACTCTGTGTTATTTCTGGCTATCGTCCACCTGTCCTTCAGCGAAGTTTGGATAAAGTGCTATCAGGACTCGTACATTTTACGATGGCACTAAGGTGGGTCTTGTGGCTACAGTTAATTTGCCGCGCCTTATAAATCTCGTAGAAGGCATTTTCTTTATCACCTGCTATTAGCAGGATTCCATGTTCCAAAGTAAAGAATAGTCGCCATTGCCCTATCTGAATCAACCATTTCGCTTGTAAAAGGAATCGTTTTTTCCTTACCCAGGTTCCATTTCGATAGATAACAAACCGTGTTATTTAAGCAAAACTTTGACAGGCTTTAATCGGAATGACAGGGACAGCTGCTACTGCAGCTACAGCTGCATGTGCCCTTGTGTTGGAGATTCAGTCACAGAGCGACGATTGTTGTCGGGGTGGTGGGAAGTGGAACGTGATGCAGTGGGGGTGCGCATGTATGCTTTCGCCATGTCGTAGCATAAAATTGCCTCTTTGACACCTGTCTCTGCCTCTAATTTAAAAATAGCAGAGTTCTTTATTTCTTCTTGCATTCGATGCATCCACCTTAGGCTTTAAAGCCACATTGAATGCAGACCACAGGCAGACGAGTGAGGAGATAGATAAGAGGCCATTTATCTATCAGAATAGTGGAAGTCTGTACTAACTTTTCGACTTTAAGGATATTATTAAGAACGGTGATTACTATCGTAGTCAAAATAATGAAAGGACTAGTTAATGCATTTCCAAGGGCCACTTCACAAGAGAGAGCGCGTAGGTTCGTAGGCCGAAATTATTGCAATCGGGTGAAGGAGTTTCAATTCACTCGGTGTACAAAGAAGTGTGAGAGGAATTATTTCTCCTCATTTTCGT